CTCAACAATCTGCAAAAAACTGTTTCTACAAAGAATAATGTTCTTTAGATTATAATTGTTTGTATCCTGTGTGCAACAGACAAGGCCAGAAAATCAGTACTGGACTCTGGTGATCTTTGGGCCTTCAGGCGGCATTGCATTCTTGTGGTTCACATTTATTTTTACCGAATGAGGAAATTCATCTACATTTGATATTTCACCTTTGCTATTTTCAGACAAATATACAGATTTAAATGACATGTAAATGATTTTACAGTGTTTCAGTTACAGGTTTTCTTGTGAGGAAATGCATTTATGTGGAAAAACAATGGTTTTATACAAATGTTTACCACTGACATATTACTGATGCAGTCCTGTATGTTCATTGATAAAAATGCAGTACAATAATTTAAAAAAAGCAGACAAACTGTAAATCTTGGTCAGAGTTGCCATAAACTAAATGTAGTGAAACAAACAAACTCCTTGGAGTGAAGCTGCAAATGTGCTTTGCCTCTAAACACGAGTATGGTTCCACACATCACAGAACTTCTCCGTTTTGGTGATACATGCGTATAATTGTAGCGTTTTAAGCTTTACGTGCAGAGCCACGGCGCGGGTGATGGGGTGTGAAGCGCAGCTCTCGGGAGCTCCTGCCTCTCTGCTAAAATTCAACACATATTTGTCCCCAAAATGTGAATTAAATTCAGTTGGAGAGCAGTGAGCCAGGACTTCAAATTACCGCCTTCGCTGGTAGTTGTGAAGGCATTTCAGCAAACAGCAGGGAAAACAACAACTTTCATCTCATGGGAAAAATGTGCTTGACACTCTGCAAAGAGAGAGGGAAAAGAGAAAAACACTAAGCTTAAGAAGATGGCGATGAGGTAGCCACACAGTGTTACTCTTTAAAAATGAGCAGGATCGCGTGTGTAATGGAGAATTTGTCTTTTCATTGCTTTATCTTTACTTTTACACACACAATCCCTTTTTTTATCCTCATAATGATACCAACGTAAATAGCCTGGCCTGCCTGATGATGAATCACTGCCGATTACTGGACTGACACTTTTATCTGAAGTGTATCTTCTGTAATCCTCTCCTCTTTGACCTCGCATCTAACCCCTGTCCCTGCTCGCGGGACAACCCGTGTCTTAAAAGCAGCCGAAACAGCAGTGAAAGGAATGAAACATACTTGACTTCAACCTTAAGCCGTTTGTTTGCTGTTGCCTCTACTTGGAATGTGCAAGAGGATGAGCTGCTGAAAAGCTGCAGTGGGTGTATAAGTGCACATGCGCTCTGTATATACCCCTCCCTTTAAGACATGCACATACCCCCTCCTGCACACACACACTGACTGGCTCTGAATCCATTGTAAGCCTCTTGGCATCACTGCACCTCTGTTTTCTAAAGTCTACCCATGATTGAGGGCATTTATTGTCAGAGCCATTCATCAGCAGGGCCCCAGCGTCCACACTTTCACGCACCCCTCCACCCATCTCCACTACCCTCACTAAAACATGATAAGCATCTGTTATGGCCCTGCAGGAGCCGCGTAGGCCCTGACGCCTCGGCCTGCCTCCCCGACTGACTGACTAGACCCTGTCTGGGCAGTTATTTACAGGTCAAAACCTGCAGGCTGCATATTGTGTGTTTGTGTTTGAAAGAGAGCTAAAGAGAAAGCAGGAGACAGATGAGGGGGGGTTAGGGATAAGAAGCTAGAAGCACAGCAAAGGATGCAGACCTCTGAACTTTAAAGAAGGGCAGGAGTTATTCAGTGGGCTCACTTCAGGGCATGAGCTATCTCTTCTTTGTGACAAATTAGTGCAATTTTCATATTTAAAATGTCTCGCATTCTTCAAAATGTGCTTTTGATTCCTTTGTACCAGCAGCAGTGGCTGCCCGTAGGCACAGCAGTGTGAGACTGGAATGCAGAAGATGGTTATCTGTTACTCAGTAACTTAATTAATGATTATTTGGGTCATCATTTGATCTGAACTGAGTCAGAAAATAGTGAAAAGTAGCCGGCATTATTTGGCATGAGCTAATGTTTAAAAAGTAGATTTTACTGAGAAGAAAAAGGGATGGAAATATCAAAGTTTTAGCAGTACTTTTAAAGATTTGTTTCAATTTAGTAATGAATTACTATAATATTGGTTACTGTTTCACCTCTAGTGACCCGTGCATTGAATATAAAACTTGTGAACTTACAAATTAGACTAAGAAGATATAGCCTTTTAAAAGATTTAACTAGAAAACATTATATAAATAGATCATACTGGATCTCAACGGTTTGCCTACTGGTCTGGATGTCACACTGCCCACCCCTATGCACTCCCTCTAATAATATGACCATATAATAATAAGTGATGCCTGATATGATACGTGTCTTCTTGTCTCTGTCTTCTTGTGTTTATACCCCGCTCTCCACTTAACCATTAGTTATTATTAAGCTCTGGCTCTCATCCACAGTGTGTTGTTTTCCTGAGGTTTCTTCCTGTTAAAAGGGAGTTTTTCCTTACCACTGTTGCCAAGTGCTTGCTCATAGGGGACCGTCTGGAATGAACAGGGCTATAACGCTCTGCCTGTCTTCACAAACAGTGAAAAACCATACACTGCATTGCATTTTCTGACATAATCAGAAACATAGGCACTGCCATTTAATTAAGGCCATTTCCACCATACAGTTATAAATACTTACTCTAGCACCAAATCTGTCTTAAATATGAACAGCACCTGCTGTTTCCGTAGCATTTTCTAAATCTACAGCATCCAACTGGTTAAGGAAATGACAGCATTTAGTCTTCCCAGAAAGTAGGGCAGAAAAAAGACAAGCACACTATTGTTTTTTTTTCTTCACTCAATTTGATGACACTGCAGATATGTAGAGCCTTATCCCACCACACTGCTTCACACAATGAATTAAAGCAGATTCAAAGGAACCCAAAATAAAGCACGTGTTATGGGTTGCTCAGCGCGCTGACTCGACGGTGCAGGAGGAATGGAGAACGTTTGTTGACCTTTTTCTGTTCTGCCTCCACCAGTTACTTGTGCCTATTGTGAAGGCAGTAGCAGAACATCTGCTTAGCTGGCCTCTTTTCAGAAGGCCTGGCCAGAGAGCGTACCAGGAAGAAAAGTGAATGTGTAAGTGTGTGTGTGTGTGTGCGACACAGTGAGGAAAATAAAAGGATTGAATGTGCATATATGTGTGTACGTGCACGCACATTTGCGCATGCACGCGAGCGTGTGTTGGGATTCGGAGCTTTGCAGCTGTTGGGGCTCTCCTCCTGATGGCTGCCCATTGTTTCCTCTCTCCGTGTCTCTGGCTCTCTCTCGCTCTCTCTGTCCCAGCCTGTTTATGGGCCTTCCCCCCTTTTTTTTTTTCAGTGCACACCGCAGCTAAATTTATGCCCTTGGACAGAAGCCTTTCTCAGGGTATAAATTAGGCTGGATGCTCCCTGTCAGAGTTGCAGTGCCAAGACGCTGCAGCTTTACGTTTCAAAGAATCACAATATTGTCACAAGCATTCCTTTACAGTTTATTTTACTGCTGAGGAGGACCTCTTATGGTGCTTCATTATATCCGCAGCACAGTCTTGTCAAAGTTGTGGGCATATTGCAGCTTTAATCATGTTCGATAAGCAAAACCTTGTGTTCCATAAAGCGCAAGTTAATTGTTGTCAGGGTGGAAAATCCATTTATACACTAATTAGATGCTCTTTTATGAGATAATCAAGAGTAAATTAAAAGGGTCATTTTGCAGTGGAAACAAATAATTCAACTTCTTTGGCTGGGAAAAAGCGCACTTGGGAAATGCTAAACTGCTTGGTATATACTTTAGTTTATAGAACGATCAAACAGAAGACCCTTTAATCTTTGGGCTGAGCCAGGTTGACTGTCCCCTCTTCTCTCCTGAGTCTTTATGCTAAGCTAAGCTAAGAGCTTCATTGTTACCAGACAGTCATTAAGCTGGTTTTAAGCTTGAAATGATGAAAACATCCACAGAAGTGATGCATCTGTGCAATCAAGCTGGGGACAATCATTATGAACTATAAACTATTAATTACGCTACAATAAAAGGACAGTATCTGTGAACTGGTTGGTGTAAATATAAGCCTTTA